CGAGGTGCATAATGTATTGTGCAGGCTGACTCCCATGTGGAAGAGAGCACAAAACTTCCCTATGCATGAGGCATTTTTAGCAAATTGGACCCCATTTCAATCTTGATGAAACTTGATGACATTTCCAACTTGCAAGTGCACAAAATGAAAAAGCAAATTTTTAGCTATTTATGTGTCAGAACATCAAAAGCTCAAAAGCCATAATTAAGGGTGTCAGCATGGCAGGGAGACCATATTTCTGCTCTTCTCGGGGGTCTTGTGGGTCTCTCCTTAGAGGTTAGCTGAAGCTCTTCTTCCCCTTGAAGACTTGAATCAAACAATTTGGATTTCATGAGTCCCACTTGGGAAACTGCCTCTTCACTTGCAACCCTGTCATGTTGATATTTAGTGTTTTTTATCTCTTTCACGAGAAGAGAAATGTGGGGGAACAGTTTTGTAGTTGGTGCTTCCTAGTCCTTAGTTTCCCGGTGCTATTTTTTTTGGAAGTCTGAGGGGAAAAAATGTAAGAAAAGGTGCTTTCAAATATTTTAATTCCTTTTCATTTTGGGTTTCTAGTATATGCAGTTAACTTTCTGACTTTAAATTCCGGTAAATGCACAAAACATGCTCTTATGATATGCCCATTTAATGACTATATAGACAGAATAGAGTAGAACACAAATAGATGTCCAAATAAGTGGAAATAAATGGGCATTAAAAATTTAATAAACGTCCATTTAAACCAGCCCTTCTAAAGTTCTTTTGTGTTCATTTGTTAAGACGTAGCGCTAAAACAAAAACAAAAACAAAAACAAAATGTAGCTCTGACTCAGTAAGTCTGGAGAGAACCCCGCGAATCTGCGTTTCTAACATGCTCCCTGGTTGAACAATGCTGACGGTGTCTGAATCACACTTGGAATGGCAAAGCTTGACCTGTCTTTCCAACTCAAGGAGGAGTCTTAAAATTCAGCTGTGGTCACTGTGATTATCAACAGGTGCACTTGTCTGGGATATACATGTTTTGGTTAAGATAGCCTTTGAATTTTATAACAGAACTATTATTAAAATTAATCCCTAGTACTGCGGCTGCCTGTTAATGATTCACAAAAATCCTTGCCTAATAAGAGCTATTTTCTGAAGAGCTCGCATTGAATTGCAAATACTACTCCTAATCTGAATGACATCCACAATTCGCTTACATAGCCCAAGCCTGAGCCAGAAGAGCTTCTGCAAGTGTTGGACACCCATTATGTGCAATGCATTGTCTTGAGGGCTGTGTGAAAGTTTGTAGAATAAGGTACATACCCGCGACTGAGAAACTTAAACTCCATTGTGGGTGGGGAGGGATGCGGGAGATAGAGCATGCATATAAAAACCTGCATAAAATAGAGGCTCTTTAAAGTGATACCAGATCTAAGTGAGACCCAAATTAAAGACCAATTGGATTTGAAGAAAAGAGAGAGCTAGTTCATCTGATGGCAGAGCCCCAGAGCCTTCATGGAGAAGGAAGCATCTGAACGAGGCTTCAACTATTTGGATTAGGTGTGTAGAAATGAGGCTGTGAGGTGTGGGCTGAGTCGCAAACGTATTAAAAGGAGGGGAACCTTGGAAGAAAGGACATGATAGGAAAAGGAGCTTATGTGTATTTTGGGGAATAGTTTCAGTTTGGCTGAAATGCAGGTTTCATGCAGGGGTTTGGTTGCCAATAACCTCAGAAAGAAAGTTGGAAATGAACTTAAAAGCCAGTGGAAGATATTTGGGTTGAATTTGGTAAGCAGTGAGGAGCTGTCACTTACCCAATCCACTTGTTCTCAGTTCTCCTTCTTTTTTTAAAAAAAAAAATTAACATTTATTCATTTTTGAAAGGCAGAGAGAGACAGAGCATGAATGGGGGAGGGGCAGAGAGAGAGGGAGACACAGAAACAGAAACAGGCTCCAGGCTCTGAGCTATCAGCACAGAGCCCGACTCGGGGCTCGAACTCACAGACCGCGAGATCATGACCTGAGCAGAAGTCAGCCACTTAACCAACTGAGCCATCCAGGTGCCCCATCAGTTCTCCTTCTAAAATGTCTTCAGTCTTGTTCATTTGAATTATTTGTGTGTGTGTGTGTGTGTGTGTGTGTGTGTGTGTGTGTATGTGTGTGTAAATTGACATTTTATTTCTTTTCAAATTTCTTTTGGTAGTCTATAAGAGATTATAAAAAGAAGACACATTTGTCATAGGAACTAACAGGAAATGGAGGATGGGAAGAAGGAAGATTCCATGCACTGCCCTCTGAGAGGTGACTCTGTCTTATAAATTGCAAAGAAGGTATAATCCAGAGATGTGGAAATTGTTAGCTAGGAAATATTTGAATTTATGTCTCTTACATGGAAGGCATCCAGCAACGTGGTAGGTGACACGGGAGGGATAAACTTGGTACATCTTCCTGGATCATCAGTTTCATTCGATCAGAGTTTCACTCCACACTATATAATTTAAAGCCTTTAAAAATATATATTTTAAATATATTTAAACAATTATATTTATGCTTAAATTTCATTTATACAGTAATTAACACCAGTCTAAAATCAGACAGAGGTACCATTTTATATTTAAATGTGTTTTCCTCTTGTTTTTTAAACTTTAATGTTTCCTAACTCTGGTTATGTTAGACTGTTTTAATGAAGAGCTCTTTTTCATTTTCAAAAAGTATAATATATATAAAGAATTAAAAAGAGTATGCTAATCTCTCACTCTGTTAATCCTACAAATGGGATGCCTGACTACTCAAGTTACATGGCTTATTAGGAATGAGGCACCCTGGTGGCAGCCTACTAAAATTGCAGGCATAGGGAAAGAGGGAAGTAATCATTTGAGTGGGGAATGGAAAAAGCTAAGTTTATAAAGGCCGCATAAATACTATGGATGGGCTCAGCCAGTATCAAGCCTGGCATAGCTGACCTATGTCAGTATTTCTCTACTCTTGTTTTTATCATCATATGCCTAAGAAGTCTTTTTTAGACATGATTTTCCTAATTGTTATTCCTCCCCTGCCCTTTGGAAGGCCACAAACCATCATAATATCTAAAACTTTTGAACTCACAAGAACCAAGTTTGGCCCCTTGGAACAGTGTTTCCTCCATTGATGGCACACGGTCTAGAGTTTTCCAGCCTCTGTCTTTCTGGGGTAAGACCTTGTCCTCACACTCCTGTGGCAACTCTAAACTGGATCACCTAGAGTCAGCCTTCTATCAAACAGTGACTTGTCAGAGAGTCATGTATTGAGGCTCCTGCTATTGGAACCCAGAAGGAGTGCCTTTACCAAACCTTTATTATTAACACAAGTCCTGCTGGTTGACCTTTTTAATCATTCACCCAGACTGGACTCACCACCATTCTCAGGGCCCCCCTTTTCTCTTATATAGTCATTGCCCTTAGGTCCCAGCTGCATGGAGCCTGCTTTTATCTAATTACGAGTCCTTGAATTCTCCCTGCTAAAGTGGCCAACAGCAGATCTAGAGGTGCTTTAAGCTGTATTCCCATCTGCCCCAGTCCACTTATCAATGGTAACGGGATGATACATAGGAGAAGAGCTTGATCTTTTATGCCTGGCAGATTCCACTCCTATTCTCTTTCCCTAAAATCCAGACTGTAACGAACAGAATCACGTGTGTCCTCATTGGTTCTTTCCCATACTTAATGTTCACAATAGTTCCATAAGGTGTTTATCAAGAACATCCCCATATTATAGGCAAAGAAAAGGTCACACAGCCAATAAATGCTGGATCCAGCCCCAGAACTCAGGGATCTCTTGGTCTAAAACCCATGCTCTTATCTTATACTGTCTTTGAGAGGTCTGCCAGGAAATGGTAGTAATAACTTATACTTTCGTCTACCCTATTTCTACATAGATCCCTATATTTATTTTTTTCACATAGTTATTCACTCAGCAGATACTCATTGAACAACTATTATGTGATAGGAACTTTGTAAGTTATTAGAGACACAAATGAAAAACACCCTTTCTGTTTTCAAGGAGCTCACAGTTTATAAAGGAGATGGGCCAGTGAGTCAGTATCTATAACTGCATCTGACACAGTAATGTTAGTAATATAGCTATATGATACTGTGGGAGAGGCACCCATCCCAGTCTGGATGGTGGTCTGGAACAGCAGAAAACTTTGAGATGGAGAAACATCCTGTACTGACATTATATATTTATGTGTCTTGCATTCTGCTCTATAAGATACTCAAGGGCTAGAACTGTCTTTTCCATATTTGTTTTTCCAGCACCAGCTATAGTTTCTCACTTTGTTAATGTCGGGCCAATGTTTGCTGTACTAGAGGCTAGTGTATTTCCTTTGCTATTTGCCACATGCTCTTGTGTCCCCTGGAATTATATCTTAGGACTCTACTGGTTTTAAGATATAGCAGCCAGGGCGCCTGGGTGGCTCAGTTGGTTGAGCGTCCGACTTCGGCTCAGGTGACGATCTCACGTTTCGTGGGTTCGAGCCCCGTGTCGGGCTCTATGCTGACAGCTCAGAGCCTGGAGCCTGCCTCAGATTCTGTGTCTCCCTCTCTCCCTCTCTGGCACTCTGTCTCCCTCTGTCTCAAAAATAAATAAACATTGAAAAAAATTAAAAAAGACATAGCAGCCAATTTGATCTAATTTAAGTGAAGATGAGTGATTTATTATAAAGATACAAGGGTGCATCATGGAAATCAAGTATAGAATACGGCTAGTCCTCAGGAGAAAACTACAATCAGAAATAGGAATTCTCTTTTTCATTCTACCTTCTCTTGCAGAATGACTATATTTTTCTATCTTCATGGTGTAAAATATGGCCACATTACACCTCCCAGGTTTAGTTATTTTAGGTTCAGTCACATGAAAAGACTAACCCAGCTTCTCTCAGTCTCAATTCTAAACTCTTTGAAGAGAGAATCATATTGCCCATTGGGTCATTAAGTTATGGCTATTGAGGACCAAGCCTTGTGGAGATGAGAAAGAGGTAGTAAAAAGCAGTTTCCCAGGGACTCCTGGGTGGCTCAGTTGGTTGAGTATCTGACTCTTGGTTTTGGCTCAGGTCATGATCCCACCATTGTAGGATCAAGGCCCGTGTTGGGGTCTACACTGGATGTGGATTCTGCTTGAAATTCTCTCTCTCTCTCTCTCTCTCTCTCTCTCTCTCTCTCTCTCTCTCCCTCTGCTCCTCTTCCCCACTTGCACACACACTCTCTCTAAAATAAAATACAAATTAAAAAAAAAAGAAAGAAAAGAAGTTCCCAGAGAAAGAGGACACTTTTTTGAGCTGGGCAAGCACCTGAAGAAATACCATCCACCCAGACAGTTGAGAGAAAAGCTCCTGGGTGTGGCAGGATACCACTCCCAGGATATAAGAAATTAATAAACAACTGTTCTTTGATGACATTTGCTCACAATGATCCTGGTTTTCCTGAAGGACTCTGCTCCTCATTTAATCAAAATAATGTCCCTTGGTTTAACTCCTTTGGTAAATGATTATTCTCCCAAGAATAGTGTGCTGTATTGATCTTAGACCTTTACATAATGATATGGTGTGTGTGTGGGGGGGGGGGTGGTGCTTCTAGCTTTTGTAATGCAAAGAACAGAGGCAATGAGTGAGAACACATGGATAGGCTAGGTAGAATACACGATACAAATACTTTTTTGAAACACTTAATAGCTGCGTTAAAAAGAAAGAAAGGGAAATATCCCGGTATCATGGACTTATAAATAGAGGAAATCATGTCCATAGTGGTTAGCAAAATAACAGATCTTTAAAGACAAGAGGCTGAACTCTTAACCCTGAGGTGGGAGCTTAACACACAGCTTAGACCACTTCTTGGATCAAATACGAAGCATTCTTGAATTGTCTCCGCCACTCATGGTACATAGAACTTCTATAGAAAAACCCTCTCAGCTCAAGTTGTTTTCACAATTAAAAATTAAAAATCACATGAGGAAATGATCCATTATCAGGGAGAATCAGCTGACTTTACAAATAAGAGGATTGATTCTGAAATGACCTTAACATTTAAAATGGTATTATTTGGGGCACCTGGTTGGCTCAGTCAGTTAAGCATCCCACTTTGGTTCAGATCATGATCTCGCGGTCCATGAGTTCAAGACCCGCGTCAGGCTCTGTACTGACAGGTCGGAGCCTGGAGCCTGCTTCAGATTCTGTGTCTCCCTCTCTCTGGCCCCCCCCGCCCCATTTATGCTCTCTCTCTATCTCAAAAATAGATAAACATTAAAAAAATTTTTAATGGTATTATTTAAGTAGGTTTCCACTGGTTAAAGATTTCATGAATGAGGAGGAAAGGAATCAATGAAATAACAGGCAATTTTGATGGGGTGCCTGGGTGACTCAGTTGGTTAAGCATCCAACTTTGGCCCAGGTCATGATCTCACGGTTCTTGACTTCAAGCCCCATGTCAGGCTCCATGCTGACAGTGTGGAGCCTGAAGCCTGCTTTGGATTCTTTTCTCCCTCTCTCTTTGCCCCTCTATCGCTCGTGCTCTGTCTCTCAAAAATAAATAAGCATTAAAAATTTTGTTAAAAAGAAAGAACAGGCTATTTTGATTTCAAAATCGGGAATTAAATAAAAATATGAAATAAAAAATATGGACATAGAATTAAACCTCAGTGAATAAGTCAAAAGCAGATTAGATATGTGGGGGAAGGTGAGAGGGAGGGAAGGAGAGACAGATGGGGGGAGAGAGAGAGAGAGAGATTTTTCTAAAGAAAGAATACCAGTTACTGTCTTGAAGGACAAAAAATTGGAAAATAAAGGAGTAACATGCAGGATAGAATAACAAGACCCAAGAAATTTGCTGGATTTTCTGAAAGGAAAGAATAGAGTGAATTTGGAGAAAAACTTTATTTTTGTTGCAAATTTTACATACTGATTAAAGATACAGCTTTTCAGATTGAAGAGCTACATCGAATCCCAAGCAGGGTAAACAAACAAAATGACCCTCTGGAAACCCTGTAAATAAATCGTAGAACACCAAAGAAAAAGCAAAAACCTTAGAAACATCTAGAGAGAAAAGATAGATTTCCTCCAAAGGAGCAGTAATTCCACTGAATAGAATTCTCATAAGTAGTAGCAGGTGTCAAAAGACCATAAAAATCTGCAACATATAGACAGAAATAAGTATCACCTTACATTTAGGGACCCAGCTAATCTAGTGTTTAGGAGCATGTTTTCTAATAGAGGTTTGCTAAGATAATCACCAAAGGATTGGCTTTAGGAAGAGGGAAATGGAAGTCCAGGAGGTATAGAGTGGGACAGAAGAAGCAATGTGGTTCCAAGATGTTGGAAATTATGTGAGCTAACCTGAAAGGATATTGATATGAGGGAAACAACTAATATGGCAGAGGGTAAAAAAACAAAAACAAAAACAAAAAAAGAAAAAACATAAACGAGGGAGTTGCAATATCGTGTTGAACAACGTAAATTCAAGTGCCCGTGGGTGCATCTAAAATGTTTCCATCCATTGCTAAGAAAGTGTGGTAAAAATGTAAGTTTAAAAAGATTTGTTGTTTTTGTGGGGAAGGGCGTGAGACAGGCAAAGGAAACACATGGCCAGTAGGTTTCTCTTTGTAAAATAAAGTGGCAGAAATAAATCCAAATATTTTAATAACCACAGTTAATAGAAATGAATAAATTTGCCACTTGGCTGTCTGATATTTACATTGGTTTAAAAAAAATTCATTTTGATACTCTTTCAAAAGACAGACCTTTAATATAAAGACACCTGCTATTATAGCAGACTTGGTTTCTTTTTCATCTCTTGAGAGCCCTAATGAAGTCACTAAAACTCCTTTCTCATGATAGATGCCAAAACTCGCGTGCATGTATTCTGGAGTATTGAGTGCCTTCTGTGAACAAGAAGGAACAGCAATTGAACATGGCTGGACATAGGATTCCAAGTATTTTAATGCTTTATAACATCAAATTGAAGACCTGCTCATCCGTGTTTGCCACAGGATTAGTTTTCACAGATGGCTGTGAATAAACCATAGGAAAGGACATACATGTCCCCTTTTAGAACAAAATGGACACATATGAGAGCATATGGTATATTTATTTTGATTATGAAGTTTTACCACACCATAATTAATGGTAAAATAGAAATTTAAAAGGCATGAAAGCATTACTTGGCTGTGATAATGCTATGACACCAACCTCTTCTTTTTCCTAAATCAGTTTTTCCATCGTGTCAGGCTGTTGATGTTTTGTTCACGCCCATAGTTCTTAAAAGCCAGAGCAAATAATAGGCTGGGTTATGTTCATGTAACTGCACACAAACCCAGTTTACAATGATATAAACTCAACATATATAGTGAGGCAAAGTTAGGTGGCTTTTGAAAATGTGGACCATCAAATCTCAGTGCATGTTTATCTGAACACATCTATATTTATAGTTTACTTCACCGCTGATTCAAATAACGAAGGGAGAGCTGGCCTTCAGGGATCCGATGTAGCACACTCATAAATAAAAAGTGACGTGCACACGTTTTTCTCCTGCTAGGATTTTGAAAGTCAGATATGGCACCCTGGTACCCTGAAACAGGTGTTAGGGGCTGGACGTTTGCGTTCCCCCCAGTTCATAGGTTGAAGCCCTAATCCCCAATGTGATGGTATTTGGAGATGAGGTCTTTGCAATGGAATTATGTTGAGGTGAGGTGGCGAGGGTGGAGCCCCTAGAATGGAATTAGTATCCGTGGTGTCCTGAGCTTTCTCTTTCTTTGCCTTGGGAGCATATACATAGTGGGAAGGCGGCCATTGGCAAGCCAGGAAGAGGCTCCTCACCAGGAATCTTGGACTTAGAGGTTCCAGAACTGTGAGAAATAAGTGTCTGTTGTTCAAGCCACTCGGTGCGGTATTTTGTCACAGCAGCCTGAGCTGACTAAGACAACAGGGCTCCCCGATGAGGCTGGAATTGACAAATAGATCAAATTGGAGGTGCTGATTCATCCATCTCTGTTTCGTGCTCACCAGAGAAACACGTGGGAAGGGAGGTTGAACCTTGAGTAGCCCCTAAACCCTCGGAGCCTAAATCTCTGGTGGGTGCTGGTCTGCGTGTGTGTGTTTGTAATAAGAATATTTAAAACTGAACCTGCCTTTACATTTTGTTAAGCATTACACCAAGTACATTACCCTGTGTTTCTTGCCTTAATGGGCTCTCAGGAGGAATTGATAAGACATCTGGTTCCTGCATTCTTTGCTAATGTTCCTTTTGGCCTCAGGTAGAAAATATTGGGCAATTTTTTTTCTCCAACAAAACCTTGTTGTAAATAGAGGAAAATAAAAATAAAAGGGGTAGAAGTCACACATAAATTTTTTATGCAAATGGGCATTAAAACGCATGAATTAAAGGTCTGTTTGGGTAACTTTCCTATTCACCGTATTTGTTAAGAGATTCATTTGAGCTAAAGTGAGTAGAGGTCATATAGTTTCACAAATAGTGCTAATATCTTTGTGCTTCTTGCTGCGTCTGTTTGCTGTGTGCTCATTCATATCTCTGGACCAAGCTGTGAATTTGGGGAAAAGTAGAATTTTTGAGAAATCAGAACATTGGGAAGAGAATTTTAAGGAAACATCTTCGACAGAGGCCTAGTAGAGGTGAAGAACACTGAATTCACTGATAGAATATATTGCATAGCGATTCAAGCATAATATGGAGTTCGAGGTATCACTGTATATAAAGATATTAATTATTCCAGTGGAGATTTTAAATCACAATGTGAGTTCTGTTTAAGATACAACTTCCTTTAGGATTGGCATTGGCCAATCTTTTTGATGGCCCTTTATGTTCATAATTTTGTGGAGCATTTTTTAGACTCACTAATAATAATCTTGTCATATCAGAGAAATTTGTGACAGTATTTCCCTAGAGAGAGGCAGAGAGAAAGTAGTAGAGAACAAGACCATACACATCATGTAGAAAATTATGGAATCAAATATATAGCCCTGAATTTGAAAGAGACCAAACTGACATCAGGCCATTATTTTGATTGGTCCAGGTAAACTTTGACAAGATTCCAGAAAATACCTTATTACTTCTGATCATTCATTATAGTGATTCACTATTCATTAGCTCATGTTCATTAAGTACTTGTTCTATGCCAGGTTCTGGTGTGAGGGCTTCAGATGTGTTTGTCTCCTTTAATCATCTCAAT